AAGTTCCTTTAGCATTTGTTGTAAAGCTGGTTTGGTGGTGCTGAATTGTCTCAGCTTTTGCTTGTCTGTAAAGGTTTTAATTTCTCCTTCAAGTCTGAATGAGATCCCTGCTGGGTAGAGTAATCTTGGTTGTAGGTTTTCCCCTTTCATCACTTTAATATATCCTACCACTCCCTTCTGGCTTGGAGAGTTTCTGCTGAAAGGTCAGCTGTTAATCTTATGGAGATTCCCTTGTATGTTATTTGTTGCTTTTCCCTTGCTGCTTTTAATATTTTTTCTTTGAATTTATTTTTTGATAGTTTGATTAATATGTGTCTTTTCATGTTTCTCCTTGGCTTTATCCTGTATGGGACTCTCTGCACTTCCTGTACTTGATTGACTCTTTCCTTTCCCATGTTGGGGAAATTTTCAACTATAATCTCTTCAAATATTTTCTCAGACCCTTTCTTTTTCTCTTCTTCTGAGACCCCTATAATCAAATGTTTGTTCATTTACTGTTGTCCCAGAGGTCTCTGAGACTGTCCTCAATTCTTTTCATTCTTTTTTCTTTATTCTGCTCTGCGGTAGTTATTTCCACTATTTTATCTTCCAGGTCACTTATCCGTTCTTCTGCCTCAGTTATTCTGGTATTGATTCCTTCTAGAGTATTTTTAATTTTACTTATTGTGTTGTTCATCATTCTTTGTTTGCTTTTTAGTTCTCTAGGTCCTTGTTAAACATTTCTTGTATTTTCTCTATTCTATTTCCAAGATTTTGAATCATCTTTACTATCATTACTCTGAATTCTTTTTCAGGTAGACTGCCTATTTCCTCTTCAGTTGTTTGGTCTGGTGGGTTTTTACCTTGCTCCTTCATCTGCGCATATTTCTCTGTTTTCTCATTTTGTTTAATTTATTGTGTTTGGGGTCTCCTTTTCGCAGGCTGCAGGTTCATATTTCCTGTTATTTTTGGTGTATGCCCCAGTGGGTGAGGTTGGTTCAGTGGCTTGTGTAGGCTTCCTGGTGGAGGGGACTGGTGCCTGTGTTCTGGTGGGTGGAGCTGTTTCTTGTCCTTCTGGTGGGCAGGGCTGCAGCTCGTTGTCTCTTTTGGAGTGTCCATGAACTTAGTATGACTTTAGGCAGCCTCTCTGCTCATGGGTGGGGGTGTGTTCCTGTCTTGCTAGTTGTTTGGCATGGGGCATCCAGAACTGGAGGTTGCTGGCCATTGGGTGGAGCTGGGTCTTAGTGTTGAGATGAACATCTCTGAGAGAGCTCTTGCTGATTGATATTATGTGGGGCCGGGAGGTTTCTGGTTGTCCAGTGTCCTGGACTCAGTACTCCCACCATGGAGGCTCAGGCCCAATACCCAGCCAGAGTACCAAGACCCTCCCAGCCACATAACTCAGGGAAAAAAAAGGAAGAAAGAAAAACAACAACAACCAAAAAAAAGAACAGACAGAACCCTAGGACACATGGTAAAAGCAAACCCCTGGTGAAATTTCATACCCACAGAAAATTGGGTCTGCTTCATGCGGAAGATCCAGTAGTGAGCCAGAAGAAGCCAAGAAGGATGGATTCCAGGTATGATACAGAGATTGTAAAGTTACTTTTGGTTCTCAAGACATCAGTCTGTTCATTTGTGATAGAGAGGGATGTTGAAGTCTCCAGCTATGGTAATGGGTGTATCCGTTTCCTTCAGGTTCTATCAGTTTTTGCCTCACATAATTTGATGCTGTGTTGTTAAACACATACACAATGAGGATTGTTATGTCTTCTTGGGGAATTTACCCTTTTATCATTATATAATGCCTTCTTTATCACTGATAACTTTCCTTGTTTTGAAGTCTGCTCTGTCTGAAATTAATATAGGAACTCCTGCTTTCTTTTGATTAGTATTAGCGTGGTGTATTTTTCTCCAGCCATTTACTTTTACTCTAACAACACTAAACCACTTTACAGTGAGTGGGAGTACTTTATAATAACCATAATCCTAATTCCTCCTTCCACCCCTTGCATCATTGCTGTCAGTCATCTTATTTTATATATATATATATATGCATATGTATGTAAATATGTGCATAATCATACATGATCAAATACACTGTTGCTGTTTGTTTTTGTTTTTGGCCACGCTGCTTGGCATGCAGGACCTTAGTTCCCTGACCATGGCTCACGGGCCCAGCCGCTCCGCGGCATGTGGGATCCTCCCGGACTGGGGCACCAACCCATGTCCCCTGCATCAGCAGGCAGACTCTCAACCACTGCGCCACCAGGGAAGACTGGAAGCATGGATTCTTAACCACTGGACCGCCGGGGAGGTCCCCCCTGTTGCTATTTTTTTGAACAAACTTCTGGTAGCTCAGTTAAGAATGAGAAAATTATACGTTTTATTTTATTTTCACTTATTTCTTCTTAACTGCTCTTGCATTCTCATGTAGATCCAAGTTTCTGACCTTTAATATTTTCCTTCTCTCTAAAGAACCTCTGTTAACATTTCTTATAAGGCAGGTCTATCAGCAACAAATTTCCTCCATTTTTTTTTTTGCTTAAGAAAGTCTTTATGTTTCTTTCACAGTTTTTTAATGTTTATTTTTAAATTTAATTTTTCTTTTACATGATAGCTTGTCTCTCTTTATCCCCTACCCCCATGTTGCCCCTCCCCTCTTCCCTCTACCCACTGATAACCACTAATTTGTTCTCTGTATCTGAGAGTCTGTTTCTTTTTTGTTATATTCAATAGTTTGTTGTATTTTTTAGATTTCACATGCAAGTGGTATATAGAGTATGTTTCTTTCTCTGTCCGACTTCACTTAGTGAGATACCCTCCAAGTCCATCTGTGTTGTTGGAAATTTCATTCTTTTTTATGGATGAGTAATATTCCATTGTGTATGTGTGTGTGTGCGTGTGTGTGTGTGTGTGTGTGTTTATACACACCACGTCTTATCCATTCATCTGTTGATGGACACTTAGGTTGCTTCCATATCTTGGCAATTGTAAATAATGCTGCTGTAAACATTGGGGTGCATGTATCTTTGCAAATTAGTGGTTTTGTGTTTTTTGGATATATACCCAGAAGTGGAATTGCTGGGTTGTATGGTAGTTCTATTTTTAGTATTTTGAGAAACCTCCATACTCTTTTCCAAAGTGGTTGCACCAATACATTCCCACCAGTCTCCTTCACTTCTGAAGGATAATTTTGCAGGGTACATAATTCTAGGTTGGCAGACTTTTTCTCTTACCACTTTTAACTATTTCACTTCACTCTTCTTGCTTGCATGGTTTTTGCAAAGAAGTCAAATGTAATTACTCTTTATAAGTAAAATATTTTTTCCTCTGGCATCTTTCAGGATTTTTTTCTTTATCTTTGATTTTTTATAGTTTGAAAATGATATGCTTAGGTGCTTTTTTTTTTTTTTTTTTTTTCCTTTTTCCTTCCCTCCATTTTCCTGCTTGCTGTTCTCTGAGCTTCTTGGATATGTAATTGGACATCTGACATTAATTTGGGTAAATTCTCAGTCATTATTATTTCATATGTTTCTTTTGTTCCTTTCGCTCCTTATTCATCTGTTCTTTCTGTTTTGTGTATGTTACACCTTTTGTAGTTGTCCCACAGTTCTTGAATAGTTTTTTTTTTTTTTTTTTTTTTCAGTCTTTGTTGTCTTTCCTTTCAATTTTGGAGATTTCTGTTGCTTAATCCTCAAGCTCAGAGGTTTTTTTCCTCAGCTGTGTCCAGTCTACTAAGCTCATCACAGGTATTCTTAGTACTTTTGATCTCTAGATTTTTTTGCAGGGGCCGTACTCTTTATTAGGATTTCTGTTTCTCTGCTTGCATTGCTCTTTTGTTCTTGTATGCTATCTACTTTAAACATTGGAGTCTTAGCATATTAATCATAGTTGTTTTAAATTCCTAGTCTTCTGATTCCAATATCCCTGCCATATCTGGTTCTGATGCTTGTTCTGTCATTTCAAAATGTATTTTTGTCTTTTGGTATGTTTTTTCTCATTTTTCTTGATTGCTAGGCATGATGTGCTGGGTAAAAGGAACTACTGTAAATAAGCCTTTAGTGATGTAGTGGTAAAGTGTATAGGAAGAGGAAGTATTCTATGGTTGTGATTAGGTCTCAGTCTTTTAGTCTGAGCCTTTCCCTCAGGATTGTGAATATCACAATTATTTATCAGTTTTTTTCTCTCCCTTTAGGTGCATCAGATGGTTAGAGTTGACTAGTGTTGGGTATATCCCCTCCTCCAGATCAAATAGACTCTGATAATACCACAGTAGGTCAGACCCTCCTTAACTAGTTTCTCCTGAGGACAGGCCTTGTTAAGAACAGAGTGTTCTGGCACATTTCGTAATGGTTCCTTCTCCACTCCCTTGCTGGAAGCATGTATGGATTTTTCAGATACTTATTGTGGGAACCTGGTTGATCTCCTAGAGGTAAACTCACAGGAGTTTGGGGACTTCACAATGACTGTCCCCACCCCCAACCAGGAGTTTTTTTTAACTCTCAGAGCCTCCAGCAATTTGTCAATTACAGTTGAGTTTTTTTTTTTTTTTTTTTTCCCCACCCTGGCACTGGTTTCCATGGTGATTTTCACTCATGAGTCTCTGCTCTGGTAAGCAGTGACTCCCTTTTTTTTGCTCTCTCTCTCTGTAGTCTTAGGGGTGGGGTTTGCCCTGTGTCCTCCTCTCTCATGGATCTAAGAGGAGTTGTCTGATATTTTTTGTTGTTCAGCTTTTTTACTTGTTTTTACAACAGAATGGCAGCTTCCAAGCTCCTTATATGCCGAAACAGAAACCAGAAGTCTGTATTACTTTTTAAATTATATTTTAAATGTATAAGGAAAGACCTAAGTTTAAATAATAAATAGGATGACTCAAGTAATGCTTTTTGTTAAAACCATTTTGAAAACCCTTACTGCTAATAGATTATGAAGTTTTGGAATACACATTATATATAGTTTTATTAAAAAATAAGGAATGCATTCTTTTGTCACTTAAGTAGAAATTGTTTGTATTTTAGATAATGTTCAGTCATCCAGGCCTAGACATTCAGGGCAGAAGTATAGAATATGTACAGCGGCAAATACCCAAGGAATGTGGAAGCCTAAAGTCCCAAAATAAGGTAAGTAATCTTAGTTTTATCTTCTGATTTGGAGTAATATTTAATTAATTAAGTAATTTAATATTTAATTTAATTAAGTAATAATTAACATGTAAGTGAAATTTTCCAGTCTTTCTAATTCTCCATATAGTTGAGTTGTACTAGAATTGTTTTTTAGTGTATAAATTTTCTATTTGTTTATATATACTTCTAAACCCCATTACTTAAATTCCCTCCAAATTTCTGGTTTGAGTCTGGGGGATTGTCAGTATACTTATCACCAATAGGAATCGTATGTTGTAATATAATGGTCTGCATCCATCACTCCACCTTTAGTCCAGACGTGGAATTTTTTTAGCCACAATTCCAAATATATGGGGAATAGAAGTCTGCCCCAATGTGGATTCATGTGCTTACTTATAAAGTAGTCACTGTGTCCAGGGACTGGCACTAGAAGATATAAATGTGACTACTAGAAGCCCACTTATATGAGTGAAGGGAAGCGTCATTTTGATTTATGCCTGAAAATTTTACTTTTCTCCCTGGCGTCAAGGAAACAGCCTACCCAGAAGGATGAGAGAGTGTGACGTGTTTTAAGTCATTTTCAGAGACTTGTATAGCCAACCTATGAACACGTATGTCTTTGTATTAGTTTGCCAGGGCTGTCATAACAAAATACCACAGACAGAGTGGCTTAAACAACAAAAATTTATTTGCTCACAGTTCTGGAAACTGGAAGTCCCAGTTCAAGGTGTTGATGCATTTGGTTTCTTCTGTGGCCTTTCTCCTTGGCTTGCCAATGGTCACCTTCTGGCTGTGTTTTTTTTCCTCTGTGCACCCACATCTCTGGTCTCTCTCTCTCTCTTTCTGTCCAAATTTCTTCTTCTTATAAGGATACCAATCAAATTGGATTAAGGCCTACCCTAAGGGCCTTATATTTTAATCACCTTTTTAAAAGGCCCTATTTCCAAATGCAGTCATATTCTGACATACTGGGGATTGGGGCATCAACATATGGATTTGGGGGGACACAATTCAGCCTATAACGTTCCACCCTCTGGTCCCTCTTCTCACATGCAAAATATATTCACCCCATCACAACACCCCAAAAAACTTAACCCATTCTAGCATCACCTCTAGGTCCCAAATCTCATCTAAATACCATCTAACTCAAGTGTAAGTGAACTCAAAATTTGATTCATCCTGAGGCAGAATTCCTCTGGGCTCATGAGGGAGGTGGCCCCATCCCCTTGGCCATCAGTGATAGCATCTTCCTGAGAATTTTCTTGCTTTTCAACTTGTGGTTCATTTTTGTTTTAAAAATTACTATCAATTAATCACTTCCTTCTCATATTGTAGTATAAGCAGCAAGGAGGAACTAGGCTGCACCCTCAGCACTTTGCTTGTAAATTTATGCTAAATATCCAAGTCCATCACTCACAAATTCTACCTTCCACAAGAGACTAGAATACAATTCACCCGCATTCTTTGCCACTTTATAACAAGGATCAACTTTCCTCTGGTGTCAACAGTATGTTCCTCATTTCCATCCAAGCCCTCACCAGAAGCACCTTTAATATTCTTATTTCTACCAAGTCTCTTCAAAGCTACCTAGCCTTTTTATAACATGCACCTCAAAACTCTTTCAGCCCCTACCCGTTACCCAGTTCCAAAGGCACTGCCACATTTTTAGATGTTTGTTAGCACAACATCCTACACCTTGGTACTAAAATCTGTATGAGTCAGGGTTCTCCAGAGAAACAGAACCAACAAGAGAGATGTATATATAAAGAGAAAGAGACTTATTGTAAGGAATTGGCTCATGTGATGGTAGAGGTACATATTCAAAATCTGCAGGGTAGGCTGTCAGGCTTGAGACCCAGGGAAGAGCTGTAGTCTGTATCCAAAGGCAGACTGCTGGTAGAATTCTTCCTTGTTCCAGCAGGGTCAGTCTTTGTACTAATAAAGCCTTCAACTGATTGGATGAAAGCCACCTACATCATGGAGGATAATCTGCTACACTTATGGTCTACCCATTGAAATGTTTATCTCGTCCAAGAAACATCTTCACTTAAACATGTAAAATAATGTTAGCCAAATATCTGGGCACTGTGGCCCAGCCAAGTTGGCACATAAAATTAACCTTCACAGTCATTATTGCAATTTTCATCCCTTTTTAGGTCCCTTTGAAATCAATCCGACATGTCAGCTTTCAAGATGAGGATGAGATTGTCAGAATAAACCCTCGCGATATCTTAATACGTCGCTATGCAGACTACAGACATCCTGACATGTGGAAAAGTGACTTGGAGAGAGATGATACTGACTCCAGTATTCAGTTTTCTAAACCAGACAGTAAAAAATCAGACTATCTGTACTCTTGTGGGGATGAGACTAAGTTAAGTTCACTCAAAGACTCTGTGGTATTTAAGACACAGCCTTCCTCATTAAAATTTAAGAAGTCAAAACGAAGAAAAGAAGATGGTGAACGTTCTCGCTGTGTATACTGCCAAGAAAGGTTTAATCATGAAGAAAATGGCAGGGGAAAATGTCAGGATGCTCCAGACCCTATTAAAAGATGCATATATCAAGTTAGTTGCATGCTCTGTGCAGAGAGCATGTTGTATCATTGTATGTCAGACTCAGAGGGAGATTTTTCTGATCCCTGTTCATGTGACACTAGCGATGACAAGTTCTGCTTACGATGGTTAGCCCTAGTAGCTTTGTCTTTCATTGTACCATGTATGTGCTGCTACGTCCCTTTGAGAATGTGCCATCGTTGTGGTGAGGCGTGTGGGTGCTGTGGTGGGAAACATAAAGCTGCTGGATGAAAGCATCCAGTGCCAAAATGAGCTTAAAATCTTTGTGTCCAGGAATTAGCTAACTTGGATTTGTGGAAGCTTTTGGCAAGCATTATGAAATCTTGCCTGGTATCATTGGGGCCACACGTGGAGGAAGCAGAACTCATCAGTTCTTGGCATTTCACAAATGCTAGCCATGCCTAACTTTTCCCCTGGAGTGCATGGCATGTTTTGTTGCAGGTTCTAAAGAATATTTGCAAAAGGAAACCATTTCTGGTTATTGGCTGTATAAAGTGAGCATAAATATGATCCAACTAAAAGGGGTTAATTTTTTGGCATTTTTGTATATTTATGCATTAGGTGATGGGACTTTTAAAGGTTTGAATTCATTAAGATATAAACTTAAAGTGCACTAGGGGACAGTTGATTTCAGTCTAAAAAAAGTTAACACTTGGGAACTGTAAGAAGTAAAACAAGTGCAACTAAATCATTTATTAGTTGTTTTTTGAAAGCAGTTTTATGTATAAATAACAAATGTTTATATTTAACTAAATATAAGGTACGAGTTATTACATATTAAACTTTTCCTCCCCTTCCTAGTTCTGAAGTAGATGTACATATATCTACTGTCACATTCCATTATATTTTGAATATTTTACTTATCTAGTTAATAACATTTTGGTTCCATGTGAATGATTTGATATTTTCATTGTCATTTCCCTTTGGCTACAGTTTATATTGAGTTATATCTGTACATTCTGGTAATCTAAAATCCTTAAAAAATATTCTAATAGCCTTGAGTGACCAACTTTTTTTTAAAGCACAGATGTAATTGTCTAATGTTATGATGGGAACATAACACTTATTTTTATATAAAAAAAGACTGAGTAAACATTATAGAAAAAAGTAAGGTTTTGGGTTGTTGTTTTGTTTTTTGTGGTATTCAACCAGCAAGTTGTTTTCTTTCAGAGTTTCCTCCTTCAAAAAATTATATTGCATTTACAAATATTTTACAAGGTGAAAAGTGTAACTAGATAGTTAGAGTAAGTAAAACAGTTTCCTCCTGAGATTTCCACTTATCATTCTGCTAAACCAGAATATGTTCAGCTGTGTTACTAACTTTTTAGCTTAATTCTCAGTGCTTATTATCACATAACAATGATAACTTTTCTCAGTTGCATTTTATTTTATTTAAACTGGCCAAAAGCAAAATTATTTTATGTAAAGGATGTGCTAAACTATCCCAAGAAAGTATTTAATCCAGTATTGTGAATGAAATATCTTGTACGTATAAATTTATTTCTTTTGCAGAGCATTGTCTTACTGGATGTTTTATTTACAAAGTAGTTGGATAAATGTTCTAGCAAATTGTTTGAAGTACTTTGGGGTCAAATTGTCCTGTTTTTTTTTTTTTTTTTTAAGTATTACATTAAAACTCTAACCAAGTAAGGGGTTCCTTAAGAACATTCCCTTAAAGGGAAAAGTTGAGAAGTGTGCCTTTTTTTAATGGCTTGAAGTTTCAGAAGTGATAAAAATTAAAATCACACTACTGTTAGAAGCTCATTTTCTATGCAGGTTTTTAAATGTCATTTATGTAATCATTCTTTTTACATATCACACTTAAGCTTGTGTTAGCTTTCTTCTTTTGCCCCAGATCAAACTGAACAATGTATATAACACTGTCTGTAAAATACTTTTTTTAAGAAAGCATTTATATTTATATGACAGCTTGAACTGACAACATTGTGTATATAGATCATCTTAAAGTATTATTTCACATTGAAAAGAAGAAAAATATATTGATAACTATAGATGTTATGAAGAAGAGGTTATTTCTAGTTTTGTACTAAAAATTAATTGGATGAACTAAGTCCAAAACATGATACCGTAGCAGCAGTTTTAAGTCTTATTTTTACTGTTTATATATTTGGAAGCTGCTACACCAGATGATCTTCATCCCTGAAGTTTTCAGCTAAACTTGGTTTCCTAGAATAGACTGTTAACTTTCAAAATTACTTTTTATTGGTAAAATGGAAATACTGGTTTTCCTTGTGAATAATTTTCGTATTTGTAAGTGCTGAGTTTATAATTCAGGTTTGATCAGGTGTGAACAACTGAAGAAAATAACTTGCTGGCTATATAGGAAAATGCTGTGGAAATGAACTGTGTATATACTTCTGGGAAGAACAAATTTAATCATTTCTTCTGTTGAGCACTAATCAGTATAGTGCAACTCCTGGTCCTGTACTGTATTTTATATGCAACATATATGCTTTAATATTTTAATGTTTGTGCATTAATATTTTCAATTTGTTTAACCACTTTGCTGCTAAGATTTTTCCGTCCCATCCCCATTTTTCCTTTACAGTTTTAAACAAGTTTCTTCATTAAAAACTATGGTCATGAAATGGTTTTTATTTTACCTTGGATCTTTACAGTTTAACACACCCAGGTTCCAAATCAGTCTAGAAGACTAACTGATGATATAATGTTACCTGAATCCCTATGTGGAAATTTTCTCTTGAGTAAATTAGAATTCTTATGTGAATTCTTCTGTTAAATTTCTCATTCTTAAACGTGTATAGGTATATTCAGGAACATTTTCTTGTTCTGCATACAGATTTGGCACTGCCAATTGGCTTGTCCTCTAAAACCTTTCTCTTTGGTTTTAATCTGGTAGTAGAAGCAAATGGCTAAACAAAACTGCTTAAGTAATGGTAAATACTGAAAATGAAATCATCTAGATGGCATGACAAGAAAGTCTTTTCGTCTGATGGCTTGTTCAGAATTGATAATCCTTAAATGATTTGTCTCCTGAGTTGACAGGGGAATCATTTGATTTCGGAAGAAATATGAGGTATGTAACTTCAGCACCACCTACTGGATGATTTATAGACCATACGTGAGGTGGCAATTGGGATCTGACAGGGTTCATCATTACTACCAGTAAAGGGCTATTTAAGTGGTGGCCACCTCCAAATGGAGAAAGCAGGAATAAGAAATATCTCAAAGGAACTGTAAAACCAATCTTTTCCCTAATGTGTCTTGTTGAAAGATTTTAAGCACTTTTTTCTTACATATGCTGTTTTAAAATATTTATCAATATTTGGAACTGGCAATCAAACTTAATGTGCCGAAGCATTTATAGAACCAATTCTTTCAACTTGCAAAAGCCATTACCAAAATGGTATTCTTACTTTTCCTCCCATTACCAGTCAGGGAGAATTTTTTAGAAAAAATAAATATCACTGTATTTCATCATGACAACTTCAGAGAGTGTGTGTGTCTCTGGGATAATGTTGGGCAGGGGTTAAAATTTAAAGGGGGAAACTTAAAACTACCTATTTTCATTGGTTATTCAGCAGTGCCTAAAATGAACTTTTGAAGTAATACAAATGCACTTTAAATTCATGTGTATAGTGCCATCTGATATCTTGGGTAAGTCTTGTCTTTTCTTTTTCTCTCCCCAGCCCCCGCTTAAATGAACACTACAGAGATGTTTCTTAATACCTATATGTCTCCGAAATACAGGAAATACGTACTTTCCTCCAGATTTAAAAAATCTTAAGGATGTTTGTTTTGTTGAAATTTACTTTAGGTTTTGTGATACACTTTGGAATATGTGTTTAAGATTGGGTTTTTTATTTTAGCCTAAAGATATATTAAACAAGTGTAACATTTTTCTACATGAAACTTTGAAAACTATAGTTACCTGGAAAACATAGATTCTTAACTAAATATTCTTATTCTTAATTCGATTTCCAAGATCACATTTCTAAGTATAAGGGGAAGCACTAGAAACTTGCATCATTGTTACACTTAAAAAAAAAAATTGGTCTGTACTCCACAATAATAGCACCATAAGGTATTTTGCAGTAAGTCAAAACAAAGAAATCACAACCTGAGATAATTTATATAAACCAAAAAATAAGGTGGGGGAGGCTTTAAGTTATTAAGGTACTGTTTGCCTAGCAGCCAGGTGGTTATAAAACTTTGATATGCTTTGAAACACTGATGTTAGCCATTGTTCCTGAAATCTCCTTAAATTGCATAAGTTGCTAGTTTTGAAAATTTTCAAGAATAATCTAGTTGAAAAGCCTTTGTATTAAAGATACACATAGAGATTTTTGTGAACATTGGCAGTATGTAGTATCATTTGCTTTCTATTTTTGACCTCAAAAGTGCCTCACTTGTATATTATTTCCATTAAAAGCTTGACTGCATTCTTTCCAATAAGCAATGAAAAATTGTTTAACTCATGTCATAATGTATCTCCTTAGATATAGTTGACTAGCTTGATAGTTTTGGATATATAATGTAAATACGCATATATAAGTTTGTAACTGTTTTTGTTACATCATACCCATGTAATTGGACATATCAGATGATATCATAAGAATTTGTTTTAATTACCTGATTAAACCTACCATGAAATATAAAAGGACTTTTTCTTACTCTTCTAGAGATAACAAACTATCACATAAGAGATAATAATTACTAAAGGAGAAAGCAGTAGTAGAAATGGAAGCTTTTGATCATAATTTTTTAAGGTGTATTTTTAACCAAAAGGTCATGTATAGTTCATTTTAATGACTTATTTATTCACCCTTGATTGTATCCAGATTTTTTTTTATAGTTTGTTACCTGATACATTATTTGGTTTGGGAACATGTTACAATGAAGTCTGGATTAACTGCCTTAAATGATGTGTGGGAAATTTTTAACCCACTACTCTTACTCTTTTTTTTTTTTCTTTGTATCATAGTTTCAGAGTTTCACTTAACTTGTAATATAAGCAAAATTAATCTAAATGAAAAATTATTAGGACAGTACTCAAAAATCATAATGTATTTCAACACCAGAATAACTTTTGAATTACTTATATTACAGTTGTATTTATTTGAAAAATCAAGAATTAACTGTTTATACCTTTACCGTGAATTATGAAATGTTAGTCTTATGTGTTTATTTACAGGTTTTCAGAAATTTACTTTATGTTCTTCACATCAAGTTAATACCCACAAGTAAGTAGAATAGTTTTTACACGAGAGAAATTGAAACTAGGGTTTCTGCTTGACTGTCAATATAGTGTCATGCACACAGTAGTCCTTAAAAAACATCAGCATTAATAATATGGAAGTTGGAGTCAACTTTAAAATCAACTACTCTAAGATTTGCAGTTTTAGAGGTATCCTGAAAATAATGGCTAAAAAAATGTATAATAAAAGTCTAACAAAATCATAGTTGAAATGGTGTTTTCTTTTGTCTAGCAGTCTTTATTTTATGTTTTTAAATGATCACTTATAGTCCTCAAATAACCATATAATGTAAGTATTATCCTCATTTTACTAAAGAAGAGGTTTAGGTTTCAAGAGGTTAAAAAATATCCCCAAGATCACATTAGAGGTATCAGGATTGAACCAAATTGTTTTACTCCGAAGCCCATGTTTTAGTCACAATGCAGTTTTGTGTTTCGTTATAAGAGTCACAGATGTACTTCATAGAATAATCATATTGTTCTGTTAAAATGAAATTTTATTTAAGTTGAACAGTATGATTATTCTGTGAAGTACAAAGCCTTTAAAGACAAAGCCTGTCTTTAAACCAGAGTTGCATTTAGTATCAGGGCTGCTACTTACACACGTGTCAGATTGATGAGTTTACTATCCCCACTTCCCTCAAACTTAATTTTAACTTAGAAATAATACAATAACCAAGAGTCTGTGTACAGTTTGGAAAGAAGTAGGACAGGAAGAATTCCAGAATTTCTAATACTGAAATAAGATTCTGGATGATAAAACCTGAGACCTGTTTAGCTTTCATTTCCATTATTAATTTTGCATTGTCAAATTGTAAGATACTTTCTTTTAAAAATGTGATACAGGAGATCTTATGGATATTACTTATCAAACATAAACCCCTTTTGTGCTCTCAATTTTTTTTCTCCCCTGTTATAGGAATAATGTCTCCAACTTCTCCAAATCTATGAAGAGAAAAATTCATGGAGAAGAAATTTCAATAGTGTATTATAATTCATTTTTAAATTCTTGTATTCTTACCAAGAATGACTAGCAAGCTTAAATGTGTGTCTTTCATCAGTAGAGGAATCCACAGTGTTTCACTCTTAAAATTTAAGAGAAAACAAGGTTGTATGAATGTATAACCTCCCAGCTAGTTCTTGTTAAATTATCAAAGTAAAATATACAGATAACATGAACACCAAAGTTCTAAGAAAGAAATAGGGATCCAAACCAAATTATTTAAGATTACTGAAAAAATTGAGTTCACTGACATTTTCGGACTGGAAGGCCCCTTAGAGATCAGTATAACACCCTTATTTTACAAATGTAGAAACAGGTCCAAAGAGGTTAAGATATTAGTGTTACGGTCATTAACTTATATAGAAACACAGCCTGTACTTTAAACCCATACATCCAACTTCCTACAGTGCATCTCTTGCATGCATCTCAAATTCAGTAAGTCCAAAACTTATTTCCCCCATTCCTTAAACCTTTTTTCTCTTCTCTGCCTTGTTAGATGGTGGTACCACTGTACATCCAGTAGTCTAAGCCAGCAACCTGGTTATTATCTTTAGTTTCTCATTTTCCCTTAAGTCATCTCACACTACTGATATTGAAGCTTAGGCATTGAATCACTTGAACATCTTTATTTTTAACTAAAGATGGTAAATATGACTGGAAGGTGAAAGTACTCTAGACTGCAACAAAATGGTGATAAACTGAGATCTTCAGGTTGAGATATCCCCAGATTTAGACAAAAGAAGTGGTTTGTGTGGGATTGAGGAATCAAATGGTGGTAACCTGAAAGAATACTTCAGCACCTAGAACCAACGAGGGAGTTAAGAGCAACTTGAACTATCGAGTGCAAACATAGAGAAATGATAACTTTTCAACTATATTCCCCTTTCCTTACACCCATTCCCTTTTTTTCAGTAATATAAGCTTGTTGTCTATTGTTTCTTGTGATGGTTGTTTTCTGAGAGTTTGGGCGAAAGAAGTCTGTTACTAGACACCTTTGGAATCCATAATCAGGTGAGCCCATAGTCAAAAGGTTTTCTTTTTACACCTCATTTTTCCCTAAAGCAATGTCAGAAATAGCCATCGTGGTACAGATTTCTACCTCTTTTGAATGTTACATCTCCGGGCAATGCCAACTATTTAAAGGATGTTTGGGAGGTGCCATTTCATGTAGAGTAGTAAGGGAAGGCCATGTAAATTTTAAGTAGGAAAAGAACTATCCAGGTTGAAGGAAGAGCAAATGCAAAGGGTCTGAAGAGGAAGGAGTTTGGCTTGTTGAACAGCAAGGAGGCTAGTTTGACTAGAGGTGGCAGAATGAGGAAGCTCATGAAAGCAGGGAAAGTCACAGAGTACCAGGCACCAGATCTCATGGCCTTGTAAGGCTGGGGGAGGAGTTCAGATTTTATTCTGAGGGTGATAAAAATCCACTGGAAGGTTTTGAACAGAGACATTTCATGATCTGGCTGCTCTGTGGCCTATTTTTTTTAATGATTTAT